GTAGCTCTCTCTTGTGAATGGCGCCAGGCGCCCTATCTACTCTACAGCCTATCCTACAACTACAGCAATGAAAGCAACCAGACAACTTGACTACCAGCGAGTGATGATGTCAACACCAATGCCGACCTCCACCTCCACCAGGTACGTGTCCTCTTCACTCACACTCTTCCCTGTTACCCACACAGCGCCCTTCACCTCCGAATACCACCTTCGCCCTTCTCCCTCACTGCACCCTCATGCGGCCCAGCTATGGCCGCCAGTGCCCTGGTGCGCAGGCAGCGCCCTACCGCCTAGCGCTGGCCTGCCTTGCACCTCTCTTAGCGCAGCGCAGCGGCAGCAGCAGCTCGCATTTGCGCAGCGTGCCGGCATTGCCCGCAATGGCCAAGATCCCTGCCCACTCGCCCTGCTTGCCTATATGCCAGTGCAGCGTGTGGGAGGCCTTCCTTCAGCCTGTGACCGGGACCCAGAGGCTGAAGCCAACCCGATACAGTTGGGCCCCAGGGCAATGCAGTTGCGCCTCTTTCATCAAGGCCTGCGGCCAGATTCAGATAGTGGGCCGATTTCCCTTTGGCATTTTCGGCCTCACGTTCGAATGCCCAGGGCATAACTAACTCAGAGGCCCTGGGCTTTCAGCCTTTGCTGAAATCTGAGACTCGGTGCACTCCAACCAACTGGCGTGCTGCAACTGTATAGACCCCACTTCGTGAAATGTTGGCACAAAGGGCTCTTGTTGATTTGCTGGCCCGCCTTCACTTAGGGCGGGCACTAGGCATGCTGGGGCCTTAGCCCAGAACATGTACATCATGGCAAGGCCCCTTCTTGAGGGCTCAATCCTCACATTCCATCCCCCTTAGCTTCGAAAGTCCGCTGAGATGCTTACTTCGCAGGTGCCTTCCCTTTCAGCTTCCTTTCATATTCTGCCACCACCTGAGGAGTTGTCTCAATCAGTTCCTCCCTGGTAAACCACCGATCTTCGGTGGGATCCGTGTGATGCCTGAATCTGACACGATATTCTCTCTTCGGTCTAGGAGGTCTTCCTCGACCCAGCGGCTTCGCAACAGGCATGTCCCGGTGATCCACAATGTCATCGATGTCGACTTGTCCATCCATGGTTGGGGGCAGCATCGATCTCCTGGAAGGGAATTGATCAGTCTCAGCGAAAGGTGCAAGCTTTGAGGCATGAAAGACTGGGTGAGTGCGTAGGTGTCCAGGGACACGAATGACATAAGTGGGACCATCCATCTCATCTCCCACTATATCTAAGACTTCCGAGGGACTAAAGTATTGAGGCATTAGTTTGCCAGAGATTCCGAATTCCTGTCCTAGCTCGCTAGCCTTGACCCAAACACGTTCCCCTACCTGAAATGTGGACTGTCTACGATGTTGATTCTCAGAAGCAATCATTGCTTGCTGAGCTTTCTTCATGTGCTCGACAACTTCTTGCAGCAACTTCTCATACTGCACACCATACTCGAGTGTGCCTGGGGTTGCAGCAGGTCGGTTTTCAGGTAGGAGGAAGTCTAACGTGGATCTAGGCTTCCATCCCAAGTGTAGCTGGTTAGGACTCACGCTGGTGCTGTTGTGCACAACATTGTTGTACAGACTGGCGATGAGTGGCAACTTCTCGTCCCAGTCATCTTGGCTGGGCCTGATGTAATGCCTCAGCAAATGCTGTACAACTCTATTCATCTGTTCGGCTTGTCTTATGGCTTCGGGATGATTCCCTGAAGTCATCCGAAGTTGACTGCCCATTTGTTCCGCAGTCTTCTTCCATAGCTCACTTGTGAATCGGACGTCTCTATCACTAACGATAGTCTTTGGTAAACCAAAGTCCCTCACCCAGTTGTCCTTAAACAACTTGATGACATGGTCAGTCCTCGCACTTTCTGGCATGGCGACTAGTCTAGCGTACTTGGTGAATCGGTCTATGATGACGAAGATGTGCCTTTTACCACTCTTGCTAGTTACTAGGGTGTCCATGAAATCCATGGAAACACTCTGTCCTGGACCAGCGGGAATAGGTAAGGGCTTAAGCAACCCAAGCGGTGCTTGAGTTCGCGGCTTGTCCCGCTGACAGACCTGACAGGTCTCTACGTACTTCTTTGCGTCATCAAACATACCAGGCCACCAAAATCGTTGTACTAGATTAACACTCGTTTTCTTGTAGCCAAAGTGACCCGTTGCGTCATGGCATTCTCCTAAAAATAWACTACGCAACTGTTCACTAGATGGAACTACCAATCTCTTTATTCCGGCCTTATCAAGATAGAGTAGCCCGTCCACCATCACAAACTCACTTTCTGTGGCCTTGTCTTTTGCCTGAAGTTTGCGGATGATGTCCATCGTGACAGGGTCTTCCTGATAGGCTCCCACCAATGATTGAGTTACTTCATTAGATACGCCAAAGTCAGAAACTAGCGC